ACCAGCAGCCAATGCCTTGTTGATCCAGTTAAGCATTGGTGAGCCTCCTTGTATTTTTGAGGACTCTTTTTACATTGCTTTGAGTATTTCATTATTAGGATGATCCGGGGTCTTGTTCCGAAATCCTTCATTGTGTAAGAGTCTTTATAGACAGATAATTATAGTTTTGTAGTCTTATTCATTTCAGTTGTATATGTTTAAGACATGAGTATTCATTTTGGCAAAGATGTTATTTCTTAACTTATTGCATGAGTTTTATTTGTTGTTTTTCAGTCTTCCGCTGAGTAAGTAATTTCGGAAAAGGGTTCCCTTAGGGACAACAATGGTTCTCAAGTGCCATCAATGTCCGGGGTGTAGGCTCGAGGCGTGACAAGTTACGCCCATGTGCCATATTTTATATGGTATAAAAGTCAAATCCATCCAAATTTGTTGTTCACAATTGTAAGGCCCCCTTTAAAAGTGTTCAAACTCCAGTTGAGGCCAAGTCATGCGGGAGTGTCACAACCCAAACCACTGTGATTGGCCCCACATGAACAACCAGTGGGAGAACCATTACTACCATCCAACTAAAGCAAGAAATCTAAAACTGAGGAAATTAAAATTACGGAAACAAGTTAAATAACTAAATACATTTCATGACTAAATCAAGATCTAACTACTAACTAACAATACGAAAGATAAACCTAGAATCTGAAGTCAATGTAACAAAACTAGAAACGACAACCAAATCTAACATATAATTTTATTGAAATATCTAAAACAAAAGTCTAAATCTAGAAAGATTGGACATAGACAAAGAGAATTCCATGGCATACCAAACGAAGTGGCTCACCCTTGAACTCGAAACGATCATTGATCTCCTAATCGAGATCTGTCAACAGTCGCGTGAAGAAGCATTGTACTCAAAAAAAAAATGAGAACAAGTGCAGGATCAGTACACAACTACGGTGTACTGGTAGTATCACGTAGCTATCTCACTACTGTAACCTAAACAAGCCAAACAACATTATAAAACATGGATATGTATGATCATATTCAATATCATCATAAGGAGTCAACAACAGTCTTCACATGCTTATCACATAGTTGGTCCTCTCACGGAACATAAACCCAAAATGTTAGCATGACGAAACGTGGAAATTTGATCCAATGCTAGCATGCCGGCACGTGGCAATCCGATACAACTGTTAGCATGTTGTAGTGTTGCAATCCAATCCCAATCACATATCAAAGCAACACATCAAGATCACACATTTTAGTCATGATTTAATTTTTCAACATCTATGATGATATTGCAACATGCACACATATACAAGTATCACAATGAAGAAAGAACACGTATATATCACATAACAATAGAATCACAACCATCATATACCTCGAAACAAGTTTGGAACCCTAAGAAACTTGATCCTTCCCTTTTTGGATTCGTTCCTTTTGTTCTTGCTCTTGAAACAATCAACAATATATGACCATAAATAAATCACTAATTTCTCAGAATTCTAAAAAAATCATGAACCCTAGGTCAAACCCATGACCCCAACTAACTAGACTAGGGTTGTTTATACCATAAATTCTATCAAGAAACCCTTCCCCGTCAATTATGACCTATTCTAAAATGTTCTGCGGATCGAAAAGAGAAAATGGGGAATGTAATGCTTACCTTTAGCTTTAAGAATGGTGGAAAACAAGTTGAAATCACCCAAGGGTCATTTCTTAGCTCTAAAATATGAGAAGTTTCAAATAAGATCGTTTGAGGGTTTTATTGACGAATTAGAAAACCCAACACCCCCTACAGCGTCACCCATCCTGTTGAAGAGGCTTTGCTGAAGTGGCACTAATCTCGCTATAGTGGAATTTTTTGAAATACAAAGCCATATCTTGCAAAATTTCAAAGTCGTATAAATCCAACACCGTTTTGCCCTCTACAGCGGCACCCATCCAGTTGTAGCGGCTTCGGTGCAGCGGTAGTAATCTTGTTGCAGTAGCACGAAGCGAGCAATGAACTCCTAAGGGATTTTCAATTTCCCATTTTCACAACACACTCTTGACCAACTATGTTTGGAATATATCTTTAATGCTAGGATCGATTCTCGGGGATCTATTTATCTAAATTTAATTTTGTAAAGTCTTACGGATACCTTAATGAGTTGTCTAAGAAATTATTTACTAAAAGTCTTACTTAATCCACCCAATTGCTTTCATATTTCCCTATACCTTGATGACTCCAATTTTTTCTAAATCTGGAAAAGGTTGGGAACATCCTACTACTACGAAAAAGTTTTTTCTGTCCCAAATTTTCCTCGTTGGTATTTTCTATAATGATGAAACCCGGACATTATAATAGATATAAATTTAACTATCCTTGAGCGATCAACTAAGGAAAAGTAGGTTAAAAAGAATAAGGTAGTACTTGATTTGACGAACAACTGTGATACTTGTCTCGTATGTCCTTCTCGGTTTTCCAAGTAGCTTTCTCAACGGGACGATGTTTCCATTTAACCTTCACGGACTTAATCTCCTTGGTCCTCAACTTACGAACGTCATGATCAATAATATAAATCGGCTTCTCCTTATATTGAAGGTCTTTGTACAGTACTATTAAGTCCCATTTAATGACATAGTCACCATCATCGTGATATCTCTTCAACATAGACTCATGAAGTATGGGATGTATACCGACAAGTTAAGGGGTAACATCAATCAATATACAACCGGTCGTATATGTTTAAGAATATCAAAAGGGTCCAACATAGCACAGACTCAACTTACCCCTCTTACCAAATCACATCACCCTTTTCATGTGTGATATCTTTTGGAGAACATTATGGCCCGTCTAAAACTCCATATATCTTGCCTTGTGATCTGTATACTTCTTTTGTCTACTATGCGTAGCTAGAATTTTAGTTTGAATGCTTCTCACCTTATCTGGAGCATCTTTCACTAAGTCAACCCCCAAAGATTTCACATCTCCGGACTCAAACAAACCTATGGGTTATCTACATCCCCTCCCATATAACACATCAAATGGTGTCATATCAATGCTTGAGTGATAACTATTATTGTAAGATAATTCATTTAGTGGTAAAAACTCATCCCAATGTCATCCAAGACAATAACACAATTTCTCAAAATGTCTTCCCACATTTGAATAGTTCTCTCCGATTGTCCATCCGTCTAGGGATGAAAGGTTGTACTAAAAGTGAGTTGCATGACCAATTCATCATGCGATTTCCTAAAAAACTTAGAAATGAAAAGGTCCACGATGTGAGATGATGGATAGGGGCATGCCATGCAACCTCACTATCTCTTTTACATAAATGATAGCCAATCGTTAATCATTGTAATCTACCCTTACCAGATTAAAGTTGGTTGATTTAGTCATTCTATTGTCTAAAACCTAAATAGAGTCCAACTTCCCTAAGGTCTTAGGGAGACCAACCATAAAATCCATCGATATCTTTTCCCACTTCCATTTCGGAATTGACATTTTTTCAAGTAACCTCGCAGGCCTTATATATTCATACTTTGTAATATCTTGTATCATGACGGACCACAAATAAACTCCTTTAAGATCTCTATACATCTTGATCACTCCCATGTCAATAAAATAGTGCGAGCCATGAGCTTTCACCAACAATCTTGGAATAAATTTATCAACTCATGGAACACATATCCTGCCCTTGTAGTTGAGCACACTATCCATATCTAAAGTAGTTACTTGAGATTTACCTAACAAAATCATTCATCTAAGCACATCTGTATCTCCATCTTTGAATTGTTTGGCCTTGATATCCTCTATGAACATGGAATTAGTATCAATGCTAGCTAACAACCCACGTCTTTTTGAAATGCCTTATTGCATAATCTTATATTCTAATTCTTGAATTTCCTTGGCCAAAGGTCGCTTGCCTATACTCAAGTAAGCTAAACTACCCATACTTACTGTTTTTCGACTCAAAGCATGTACCACAATATCTGCCTTGCCCAAATCGTATTGAATGGTCACATCATAATCCTTGAGTAGTTCCATCCATATTCATTGTCACAAGTTCAAATCCTTTTGAGTGAACACATGATGCAACATACGATGATAAATAAATAACTCACACTTAACACCATAAAGATAATGTCGCCAAATCTTAAGAGCAAATACAACCACTGCCAACTAAAGATTATGAGTGGAATAATTTATCTCATGCACGTTAAATTGACGTGAGGCATAAGCTATAACACATATCCTATGTCAACACAACATCCAAATCAAAATGTGAAGTAACACAATAAATGATGAAATATTTACTCTCAACTGGTAATTCTAGGATGGGCACAATATTCAAAGAATCTTAAGATTTTGGAAGATCTTCTTACATTTTTTAGTCCATTCAAACGATACCTACTTTTTGGTCTGATTGATCAAGTGAGTAACAATTGAAGAAAAATTTCTCAACAAAACGACAATAGTAACTAGCAAGTCCCACAAAACCCCAAACTTCCATCACCGAACTAGGTAGTACCCAATTCTTGACCGCTTCAACCTTTAGGGGATCAACCCTTACCCCTTTTTGATACCACATGCCTCAAAAATGCAACCGACTTCAACCAAAATTCACACATGGAAAATCCATATCAAGAAGTTCTTGGATTTGAGCCATAATCTCTCTTAACTTAATCGGATCCCTGTGATACGAAGGGATAGAAATGAGTCAGGTACCAGTCTCTAAGTCAATATAAAAATCTATGTCTCTATCTGGAGACATGCTCGACAAATCATTTGGGAATACTTCATTAAACTTAGATACAACAAGAATAGACCCAATAGATGGAGCTTCAATCGCAGCATCCCTAACATGAGCCAAATAAACTAAACAACCTTGCTATATGAGTTTACTATCCCAGATAGAGGATACAATATTAGCTTTTTTAGGCTTGTACACCCCTTCCACTCTCATTTTTTACTTATTGGAATTTCTAGAGTTACATAAGTAGTAATAAAATAAAGCACAAAATAATAGGGAGAAAACCAAGTCATGCCTAAGATAATATAAAAATTATCCATGTCCAAAATGACAAAATCACCCTAAGTTTGAAATTCCATAAACAAGATAGGGCAAACACGATATACATGAGTGACTATGACTGACTCTCCAATCGGGGAGGAAATATGTATAGGGACATCAAGAATAACACATAACATATCTAAATCAAATGTAAAACTTATAGACAAATAAGAATAGGTCGATTCCATATCAAACAACATATTAGCAATCCAGTCACAAACTAGAATAGTACCTGTGATCACTTCATCGGATGCCTCTACCTCATTGTTGCCTAGAAAGGCATAACATTATGCGCTATCATCCACACAAGCCACCTCCATTCAAGGTTGCACGTTACTTCTACATATGTTACCATTTTCTCTACCTCCAAGGCCTAGCTAACATCCTCCTCTCCCAACTTGTGGACAACCTTTACCATTATTACTATCCCCACGTGCACAATTGATTGAGAAGGTTGCTGTCCGGACTCGAGTGATCATGGTTGTGGGAAGTGTTTCATTATGTGTCCAAGTTCCCCATATTTAAAGAAAGTACGACCACTATATGGTCTACTGCACACGACATGCACAATACTCTGACTAGCTGGAAGATTATTAAATTGAGTCCCTGATATGCTCAAGTTACACCTCTTTTAAAAACATCAGCTTGTAGGTTGAGGTCGAAACCACGAGGAAAATGGTGTAGACTTAAATTTAACTCACAATTATATTTTTTTAGTCAATGTCTTTCCGAAACATGTAAGTGAAGGGGAGTTTGTGAAACAAATTCCTTAAATAGTATGATTATCAAGTGAAAAAAGTAGACTTTGGTTGTTATCAAGATGAGAAAGTAATTATAGTGTTTGTGTTCCCCACAGGTTCATAACACAATATTTATGGCAATAGCAATCCTTTCTTAGTGTATTACATTCAAAGTGATAAGTTAGGTATCTCTAAATCCTTGGTCCGACATCTAGTTAATTTCACCATGCATTTCTAAAGTTGCAAAAGTCAATCTCCAATACAGATACTAGGACAAGAGTAATAGTAACTATCTCCAAAAATTAAGGTTTTATCACAGGCCGTCGATGCTCATCCATTGTTCGATGCTTAGAATCTTCAAAAATCAGGTATTGAATTAAATGATAGCTCACTAGTACAGTCTATCGATCAGTCAATGGATCGTCGATTCCTCTCGTGATTCTATACTTAGACTTTCCTGATTTTTCTTCGTTTTCCAATTTTCCTATCTACGATCACCAACTACGGTCTATCGATTACCTCCGTAAGTCTATTTCTGCACTTTTATCAATTATCTTCTCCATTTTTAGCGTGAACATCTTTCCTGCCAAACAATACACAAAACTTGTTAAAACCACTTGGATATACACACACAAAACTCTTAAGTGAAATGAATTAAAAATACCGTGAAATCATGGTATATCAACACCCTCAACTCAAATTCGTTATTTTTCCTCAAGAGACACACCATGACCCTAAACGATATTTGTATAGGAGTAGACACTCTAAGCTCTAGCAATCATCTAACTATCTATCTTGACTCTTTATTGATTGATTGCAGGCCTATTCTCTAAGGATCGATAAGCCGACACATACAGATCACATCATGACACAAATTCACCATGCAACAGACACCTCTATTGTTTTTCCTCTCACCAAGGTACCAACTTTCACATAATGCAACTAGTGTCCTCACTATAAAAGAAATCTCAGTTTTCACATAGTGATATTGCATTTTGGGTACAAGGATCTTTGTTCAACATCACACTCAGGAATGAGTTCAAATAATGTTAGTGCTCCATGCCATAGGCTTGCCCTTATTTTTGCTGCTTAGGTTAACTACAGTAGACTTTAGGATCACGGTAGGACTTTCTTTGATTGTAATGTAGGCTCGGGGTCAGGTGTGGTACATTTAGGTACATTAAGTGACTTCCTGACCTTCTTGACATTACCGCTAAGCTATTTACCTTTTTTTATTGCTTTTGACCCCCTATTTGTTTTCTCTTCTTTCCTTTGCCTTATTTCCATTTTTAGATGTGACTTTCATTATTTGTTTTTCAACAGATTTTTTATTTTTTGACAAGTCTCATATTTCTCTTACTTAAGATTTTATTTTAAACATCCAACTCTTTTCATACCCATTTTTGGGTCTTCTCTCATAATAGTCACCATTAACTCATGACTTTTCTATGGTTGAAGTACAAAATACCCGAGGTCAGGTAAGGTCCAAGATAAGGTCACTTTCTACATTAGCGACCCTAAACTTAGGATTTTGGCCTAAGTTGAGGTGCATATGTCCAAGGAGACACTAGGGAAAAAAATAGACCCTGGGAAGTAGAGTTAGTGAAGCAAAAAAATTGGTCTATTATAGGCTCGACATATTTGGATCATAAGGGACAGTTATTTTATTTGGTCAACTTGAGTAGATTCCTTTTGCAGTACTAACCCGAAAAGTTCTAGTTAGGCACCAACAGTTAAACACTCGAATATCCTCACACTCTCTTGGAACATCATTTCATTGTCAGATTATAAGATTTCCCAGTTCAGGTTTTAGTGGAAGGTTATGTAGTGAGTGTCTTTTTATGTCATGTTTAGAACCAACACATTAAACTTATCTTAACCTTTATATGCAAAAATTACAATGGGAGCGGGTATCATTATTTATTAGCCATCATTTTTTTTTGTCTTTCATGCCTCTACACTTCTACCCACTAATACATGTCGATCCAATAGAAATTTAAGCAGTCTTTTGGGGAAAAAGAAAACGGGCAAGAAAACCTCAAGAGAGGATCATGACTTGGGCTACTAAGACATTATTCTACCACTTGCAATCCATTTACTCCACCCCTAACAATTTGTTTTTTTAATTGTCCCTAATTTATATGAAATTAGTGACAGTGTGGTATTAGGTGAAACAAACATGTGGCGTATAACACCGAAGATCTCTCAACAAGTGGGTGGGTCTAGTCTCTCGGAGCCCATTGGATTTGAAATTGTGCTTCCTTTAGTAGTGCCCACATCTCTAAGGATGGAACCATCAGTAGTTTCATCCTCCTCTATCTCAACACCATCAATAGTTCTACTCGGTCCGCTCTCAAGAATAGAGTTGGATGCCCCAGCAACTATCTTTTGTGCCTTCTTAAGGCGTATCTCCTCATCCATTAGCGAGGACTTCCTAGACTGCCCCATCTCCGTCCGCTCCTTCTTTCTTAGACGGGTCTCATCATCCACCTTAGTGATGTGGCTGGAGCAGTGCCTCGTTCTACAAACATGTGGCTCGGATTGTGTCTCAACAGGTAGCTTGAATAAGGCTTCAAGCATAGTGTCCTCAGCTAGTTCAGTGCGACCAATCTCTGGCTCAGCTCCTTGAATCTCTAAAATGGTATCAACATTGGCTCGAAAGCTGGCCTACTCAATTTGTATGGCAGTGAGGTCAGTGGTGGGTGTTGGTCGTGCTATAACACGTAGCTCGGATGCATCAAGGAATTTGTGGACTTCTTTAATGTATTGCTTTTCCTGCTTGGCCACCCGCTTCTACATGTGGTCTTCTGCATCGGCTATGGATATCTGCATCCATGGATGATTATGATGGAGCAAGGTGGTAATCTGCACCTACAACTTTTAGACTCAAGCTAAAGGGATCAGTGCTGCAGGTGGTGGTATGGATCTGGATGAGCTGGGGGGCTTGTTGGCTGCATCCGAAGAGGAGTCCTGAATGGGGTCATCATGCTCTTATACAGAAGGATCAGCGTCTTGGGCTAGCTCCACTCTATCTACCAAATTTTCACACAACTGGGGAACCTCATTCCGAGGCCCTCTATGGTGTGCCGCTATATTATCCTCATCTTTTATGAGTCTTATATCCAATGTCCCGGTAAGTCGACGGAGTGGGTCACAGTGACAAATTGGCACTCCAACGTCCCTCTATATCCAATAGATAAGATACAGAAAGGGGTAAGTGGTTGAGGTCTTAAATTTACTCTCGCATATCTCCACTAAAATCTTTCATGCAAAGTTTATCTCCAGCCCAACTACCAGTGTTGCCACCATCTCCGCCCTATCCCATGTAAGTACATTGTCGGCCTTTGTGGGTGATACTCGGTGTCGGACCAACATCCAGAAAAATTTGTCCACAAAAGTGACTGTAGTCTCTTTTATGAGCCCTCAGGGATTTATAACCCAGTCAGCCATCTCCCCAGCTACTACAATATATTGAGCTAACCACAGTTTCACTGCCTCCTTCTTCTCTGCGTTTCTCTGAAGATCTCCTCCTCATATTGTATCCCACCAGTAACCGAACTCTACGCTGTTGAGGCTCCATGTTATACCGGTGGTGGGACTATATAGGAATCGACAGATGGTGTATGTGAGAGGGTCTTGCTTTGTGAGTTTGGCCCGGTTGTGGATAGACCCCTGGAGGGTAGCAAGATAAGAGCCATAGAACTCCCGAACAATCTCCTCACTATATGGGTCCAAGTCCTGATCCATCCAGTCGGATTTTTAGAGATTAAGGAGTCTTTGCACCTCTAAAACTATATGAAAAATCCCGGTGAGAACTCTACGCTCCTCATTATTCAATTGAGTCATCACCCCTTTCTTATTGAGCATCTTTGCATCTCTATATACCTATAATTTCCCATCCACACATCACATGTTTAGTTCATCTACAACAAGGGTGGAGTAATTTGTTTAGGGTGCAGGTGCAAAATCCAAACTAGTGGCCTCATCAGACATGCCTTGTTGTTCTTGACCCCCTGATCTCGTGGCTCCCTGAAAGTTGGAATCAGTGTTAGTGGCCGACTTGGACATTGAAGACTGGCTAACCCTGAACCTGAAGTTATGGCGGACTCAGAGCTTGATATTGAGGCCCCTCTGAACTGGACGCATCCCCTGTTTGTGAATTGGTCAATGTGTGCTCCTCATTTAGGGAGGTAGTGACTAAGTCAAGGTGCACCTTCCGTAGGTTGCTCCTAGGTTATCGGGATGATGCTGGTGGTGTTTGCATACGAGAAGGAACATAGGATTGGTCCTGCTCTGTATCATTGTCTTCATTGATCAATTGATAAGACGGGGAAAATGACTTGGATTTGCCTTTCTTTGAGTACACTAATTTCATCTTCGGGGTCATTGTACCTATTGAGTAATTGTTAGTATCCTTGAAGATTGACGACACACTTGTATAACAACGAAAAGAATAAAACATGAAAAGAAAAAAAATACAAATCTTGACTGCAAGTTTAGTTCAATGAGATTTATCAAAGGTCCATAAAGTTATCTATGGTCTGTAGAAATCGTCCTTCGTTTGGGTAAAAATAGATTCTTTGATAGAAACGAAGGATCTGCAGAATGGCCCGTCGATCAATAAACGGACCGTAGTCCACATCTATCGTATGACACATCAATTTATTTTTGAGTGTGTTTAATGATGGCCTATCGATTGAATGACGGTTCATAGAACTGTCTCGTACTTTAACATGTGACAGATTTCAGGCCTGTTTCAAGTTCAATTTCCGAAATATTTTAGTGACCCATTTTAACACAATCAAGTTTAAAAATAATTTTCAACACATAATATGTTAATTCCTCATTCCCGAGGTTGCTATTTCGTACCAATATCTAACCCAATTGAGTAAAAATTGGAACCCTAGGTCAAAACGTACACGAAGACTTAGCCACACAACGGTTTAGGTAGTTAAATTGCTACACTACCATTGTCTAATATCCTAAGAGAAGTTACTACGCGATTTTTAGCAAGCAAAGTGATTCAATTTAGTCCCAACACCAAGACCCACTCTCGACTTCCTATAATAATTTATGAACGGGAATTCTAAGTGAGGGGAAATCGAATTACCTTACAAGCAGTGAAAAGTGTTGTGATTGTGTGCCTACAGTGATATACAACCTAAAGAAGTGGCCGACGCTTTCCGAACCCGATGACCGGACTTTGGAGGATAGAGGATGAGAGAATTTGGGAAAGAATGTTTGAGATTTGGAGAAATAAGTACACATATGGTTTTGGGAGATGTGGTATTCAATTGGGGAGTGATTTCAGGAGGAATTTGATGGGGTGAAACGATTATGCAAAAAAGTTTGAAAGAAATTGGAAAGAGGGAAAGAATTTGAAAGATTGGGGTTTTAATATAACCGTCTGGGTAGGGTCGGTTCACTGGCCAACTTGATCCACGAGTCCCCGTCTATGATCTTTGGATTGATCGAAGGTCCGTCAATCACTCTTAGACATAGAAAATTTGTATAGCTTACTTGGGATCTACGGACACCATTGACGGTCTGTGTTCGGTTGACGATCCGTCGATTGGAACATCGATCATGCTGATATTTAGAAATATTTCAAGGCTTACCTGCGATCAGCATACGTCCTTTAAGTTCTGTCGATCAAGAGACAGACCGTCAATGGGGTCTGTAGGCCTCTGCACCAGACAATTTTCAACAAATTTTTGATTTTTCCTCCTGCATATGTAACACATATTAGGCCATTCTTTTTTTATTTTTTTGGACACTTTTTAGACACAAACACTGTTTTATTCGAAAATGAAAATATTTTATGTTGTTTTAGACTTAATTAGAGGTTCCACTTAATTTTTAAAATTTTTAAGAAAAATTAAGAAAACTTGGTTTTCAAACGACTTCAAACAGGAAACCAATTGAAAATTTCAAAGGGGGTTCAGGAATTCTCACTTATATTTTTGAATGGTTTTTACGAAATTTACAATATCTGTTAATTCAGTTTTCCAGCAACAAACTTGTCTGACTTTAAAAATACCTTGAATCAAATTTCTTTAGAAGTCTTTCAAAAAGGTAAGATAAAATTTATCTAAATGATTTGTTTATTTTTCAATTTTTTTTGTTTTTAAGTCCATTTGAAATCGATTGATCTATTTTGAATTATTAAAATGAAATAGCGCCTTGCAGTGGATTTGAGTCTTTCGACCTTAGAACTAATGGTAAATTAAAAAAAACATAAAACAATAAAGAGACAAAGAGAGAGAGTTGGTTGGGCCCAAATCGGTTTCTGTCTGCCTGGACCGGTATTTGGACCACTTTTATTTGTACCTGTCGTAAGATAAACAGACAATTAACGAATCATAAATACAGAAAAGAAAAGACGACAAGGTCTAGGCCCAAACTAAAAAATACAACGCTACCAAAATAAAATTTTGGACACTTTGTCTCCACTCCGTCAAATTTATCTAATCTCCTTCGATTCTTTAATCATCGAGACCTATACGTCGATTTCTAATGATTGGTTCAATCGAAAGGCATTATGATTCTTTGTAACTCTATTGAAATGCAGGGACAAAATGGAGTCCATGAAGACTCGGAGGTAGATTTCACATGTATCAAAAAAATTGCAAGGGTTATCACACGAAGTTATAGAACAAATAAGGTATAACTTAAAAAAATGGAATTTGATTAAAATGGATGCTATTCAAGGAAATTAAATTGAACAGAAATACTACTCTAACGAAAAATTAAATAAGCAAGTTAAAAGGGACAAAGATAATAAGCGGATCACGAAACTAACGGTTGTACATATATATGCGTGTATGTTCACTTATGAGCTTGCTATGTTCCAGGGGATATACAACTGTTCACTAAAAAACTTAAAAACTCCAAGCATTTAAAGAAAACAAGTGGATAATTAGCAAATAAAACAATCACAGACTTTAGTCTATCCAACTTTATTTAATGAAAACTAACAATGCTAAGGAGGGAGCAAACACAATTTCCCAAGCAAAAGTAGAGAAAATGAATTGATTTTGCCACACCATTTCTAAGAGAAGTGATAAATTGTAACTATAATAAACTGACCCCAACGATTCTATTTTCTCAAGCTAAAATGCTGGCGGTAAACGCAAGCAGACACGGATATACATGAAATCCAAAAAGGACATTGCTAAGTGAAGATACCATATAAGTAGTTGAGATGGACGGAAAACTAAAACTAGTACAGATATATTTGAATTTCGACAAAGATGAGAGAGAGCTACTTGTATATTGACTAACAACAACATGCTAAAAAATCAGTCACTAAAACTTAGAATATAAAACAGTTCACATATATTTGTATGTTTCGAGCCTAAAATTACAAATTTCTACTCTTCAGATGATGATAGTCGTTTGAGCACTTTCCTTCGATCACTAAAACTAGCCAAAAAGTGCTTGTTGGACAAATTTAACCAAGGAAAACTGAAGAGGGAGACATGCTGCAATTTTATGGACAGAAGAAATCGCAATATAACACTTCGGCCAGCAACGAGAAGAGCCTTGCAAAAATGAGAAACAACAGACCTCTTTAGACCATTCAAATGTTTTAAAGATGAAGTGAATGACGCTATCTATACTAAAATGGACCTTTTGAGATGTGAGGTAGGGAGAACAAACCAACTTCACTACGCTTGGTCATGAATACTTAGTTACGAACATGAGAAAAGAGGGGAAACTCGAATAGGGTCAAACAAATAAACCCTACATACAACAGATAGAATTTTTTTGAACAAGAACACCAATCTCAAAATATCAATAAACTAAAACATGCTAAATAGATTACCCACTTAAAACAAATAGACTGAAAAGAAGAGAATAGGAAATGGCCACAAAATAACATAAAGAGACAGCAACACCAAGAAAGAGACAACCAGCAATTTCACACAATATTAGAAATTCCATTCAAGTAAGATGGAACTATTAATATCATAGCTAACTTGAAAGAAGAATTCTAAAACTTATAAGAGCGACAACATTTAGAGCACATCTTTTATACATCGGATGAACGCGAAAATGATTCTAACTCAACCTCTAGGATACTATATAAACTGAGAGTCGAGCAGCATGGGTCAGCCAAGAAAGAACGACCAAAGATAAATCAAACAGCGGCCAAACACGATTGAAACAAGACAAGGAATAACAAGTCCAAATAAATAGAATTTGTATTTACCGTATTTTGTGCAGCGAGTTGGAGAGCAGATGTTTTTGTGATATTTGCTGCTATAAGCCTCTGGTTTCCGACTTGAGCTAGGACATTATTGTTCGTCCTTCCTCCTCGTCCTCTCCCCTTTCCTCTATTAGAGGAAGAGGTCCAAGATGGCCTCATCATGCTGCAAAAGAGAATTATTTAATTAAGTATTCTCTAGTCAGAAAATCAAGAAGACTATTATCTATTCCTTTTTTATAAAGTATTTCGAAATCAAAAGGTGTCAATAAGGCCTGCCATCTAGCAAACATCTGTTTAGAAACATCATGTTTTACATCCTTATTAAAAATGAATTTAGCAGCTTGACAATCAGCTTTTATGATAAACTTTTGATCATAAAGGTCTCCTTGAAATTTTAGAACACTTTTTACAATAGCCAAGATTTCTTATGGTAGCATAATTTCTTTGGCTATTATTCCATTTTCCTAAATAAAATTGTATTAGATATTCCTTATTATCATCTGGAGAGATTTGTTTTAAAATTCCTCCATAGCCTATATCAGAGGCATCTGTTTCAACAATCTTGTTCCAACTGGGATTAGCTAGACCCAGACATGAAAGGTTATTAACCTTACTTTTAATTTGTTGAACAACTTTCGTATGATCCTCTGTCCATGGCTTAGCATTTTTCTTAAGCCTTTCATATAATGGAGCAGCATCTTTTGCCCAGTCCTTTATAAAAGGAGAAATTTAATTCAAGCTTCCTAAAAATCTTTGAAGCTGTGTTTTATCCGTAATGATATCAGGGAATATAGATGCAAATTCTATGCTTCTCCGAATAGTAATGATTTTTCCCTTTTCAATATTGTGACCCAAGAATCTAACAGTAGTTTGAAAAATATGCATTTTTGGTTTAGATATAACCAGACCATTTTGAATAATGATTTTCTTAAACAAATCAAGATGTTTGAAATGGGTTTCTAAACTTTTAGAAAATATCAAAATATCATCTATATACACAATTATAAAATTGCTAAAAGGATTGAACATATCATTCATAATTTTTTGAAATTCTGATGGGGCATTTTTTAAACCAAATGGCATAACATTCCATTCATATTGTCCCATGGGTACATTAAATGCTGTTTTATATTTATCAGCTTCAGAAATCTTAATCTGCCAATAAGCGGATTTTAAGTCAAATTTTGAAAATATAATAGCTTCATGAAGACGATTTAGTAAATCCTTTTTATTAGGAATATGATATCTGATCCATTTCAAAACTTTATTCAAAGGTTTATAATTTATAACGAGTCTAGGAACTCCTCTTTCTTGTTCTGCATGTTTATTAACATAAAAAGCAGTACAAGACCATGGTGACTTTGAAGGTCTTATTAAACCTTTCTGTAAGAGACTATTAATCTCATTCTTACATAATTCTAAATAATCCGAATTCATTTGGCAAGGTCTTGCCTTAGTAGGAATATAATCTTCTAAGAAATTTTCTTCATATGGAAGACTAACAATATGTTTTTTCCTTTCCCAGAAAACATTTGGGTGATCACCACAAATTTGTAAAGAAAATTGATTTTTTAAATATTCAATTTTTTCCTGTAATTTAGGATTTTGTAAAGTTTTTTCTATAGTAAGACTACAAATTTCATTTTTCAAAAAGCCTATTTGCTTGTTCTTTAAAGAAATTAAATCTTTAACTTCATTTATGAATTTAGAATAAGGTGGAGATATAAAATCAATTCTAACCCTTTTTCCCTCAAAATTTCCAGTAATACCAGTATGATCCCAAGAAGTAATTGGATAAATTTTCCAAAAGAAAGGCATTCCAAGAATAATTTCATTTGAAATGTTCTTTTATTAAAACAAAACTTTCAGGAATGCAAACATTGTTTGTACAAATATAAGCTTTGGAAATTTTATAATCAATATACATCTTATGACCACTAGCATTTCTTAAAATATGAGTAGTCTTTTTAAAATATTTTGAAGGGATCAACCCTTCTTGAATACAATTTAAATCAGCTCCGCTATCAATAAGAGCAATAAAATCTCATTTCAAATTATAATCAATAACTATAAAAATTTTTGCAAGAGGTTTATGAGCTGTAATTAACTCAATAGTTTTTAAAAATGATTCTTTATTTTCTTCTGTAAAATCTTTAGGAGTTAAATTATTAAGAGAATCTACAGAATTATCAGTAGCCTGCTTACCTTCTTGAGTTTTATTAATACTCTCAACAAATGTAATTCTTTCATCAAGAATAATATTTTTATTTTTTAAATCATTAATTTCTTTTTTAAGGTTATTAACTTCTTCAGATAAATCTTGAATTGTAGTTGGAATATTATTCCTTTGAGACCTCTTATGAAGTTGTCTCTTTAATTCAGCCATTGTATAAGTAGTGTTCTCAGTCTGAATTTCTTTTCTAGGAGACTCTACCTTATTAGTAGAAGTACTTCCCATTTTGTCAATAATTTGAGATCTTATTATAGGATCATCTATTAATTTGATCATCTCGATCCAATCATCACTACTAATGACATTAAGATTAAGATCTTTGAATTGAGAATAGAGTTTATAAAACTCATCTGTATTCTGCTTGTCTTCACAGCTTTCTCCTATTTGACAAGGCATACATTCTCCATCTGACGAAGAGATGTAACTCTCATCATGGAGAACCGTTAAATCCTCACTGGTATGGGATTCTTCTCCCCCACTATCATCATGGCCTGATCCTTCAGGTGAAGAGTTTAACAGGATTTTACATAATGAATCGTTGATATTATCATCTAAATTAAGACTCTTAATTTTGTCCTTAACGCTACAATCTCTGGCATAGTGGCCTACCCTTCAACATTTGTAGCAAGCATCCGAATTATTATGCTTAAAGGATTTTTTATCAGATCTTTTGGATTTCCTATTTTCACGTTTATCCAAACGTTTCTTTTTCCTATGAGGTTTATAAGACCTATCTGTATAGTCCTTATCTTTCTTCTTTTGAGAAGATCTTTTTGAAGATTTTGGGATGTCAATAGCAAATTGTTCACAGAATTCTCCTAATTGCTGCTTCTCATTTATATGATATCTCTTGATTTGTTGATTCAACTGTATTTCATTGCATAAAGCTAGCCCTTCTTGAACCACAACTGCTATAATCTTTCCATAAGTATAATGTTCATATTTAATATTAACCTTATTCCCTCTAAGATCTTTCTTATTTCTTTCAGCGAATAAGTTTGGAAGTCCATCTATGAATTTGGATTTCCAATGAGAACTATTACATTTTGGTAATTCCATTACTCTTGACAGGAATGTGTCCTTGTACCATCTCCAATTAGTAAGAGATCTACACTTAAGATTTTGTAAAAGAGTCCTAATTGTCTCACTATTATCTGACCATCTTCCAGAGAAATGCTCTATGATGGTTAGAACTAGTGTATAAACTATATTTGGAGTTGGATTACCATTTTCTTGTTTTACGGCATTCAAAATTGTAATCCTCTGTTCTTCTGTGAGATAATTATCCCACCATCTTTTTAATTGTCCTGTAAATCCAGCAATAACCATACTTGCTGTTTTTTGTTCTGAATTCTTATTAGCTTTGCATATAGTTCTATACATAAGAATTCTATGAGCCAGTGTATAAATTTGTCTATCAGTGAAACCATCAATATTCCATTCGTAAATCTCAGTACCACTGAAACTATTAGACACAATAAATTCTTGTTCTTCCAAGAGTATATCTTGAGGAGTTGGTCTAGGATAATAGTACATCCTTTGGACCGGTTTTCTAGCATGTTTTTCAGAGATTTTATTAATCTCATCAAGAGTATTACTCTTTTTAGAAGTATTATTATCATTTCCCTCTATATTAAGAGGACTAAGTTCTAGATCTTTTTTATATTTCTCTTCAAGCCATCTCTCAATATTATGAAGTTTTGATAATTTAAAATCTTTGATTTCAGGTGGAGGCTGGATACTTGCAGAAGCTTTTTCTTTGCCTTTATCAGAGGCTTTAGATTTTTCAATAGTAGAACAAATATGATTGATTTTATCATGTAAAGAAAGAATATGTTCTCCTAAAACGCTCATATAAACATTTGTATAATTATTTTGCTGTATAAGAATTTTAACATGTTTAGTAGTTATTAAAGCAGTATCAACATTAAATAATTCTGCAAAAGTTGTAAAATGAACAATTTTATTATTTTTTTCAATTTGAAAAGACTGTTGGGGAGGCAAGATTGATTTAGTAATAGACCCATCAGTCAATTTGTAATCTCTTTCAAGCATACAAATATATTTATAAATATATTTAGTCATAAACCAAAGAATAAAAGCGATAATCTTATTGGCTTGTCAAAGATCTTTATAAAAATCATCTTGTAAAAATGTCCTTTGGTTTTTATCAAAATTTTTAAAGAACCATTCTCTAAAAAGTTTCCATTTAGGTTCAAAGAATTCATTTGAAATCTTTTCTCTTACCGGAGATCCCGGTCTAAAATCAAGTCTGTCTTTTTGATCCATCAAAACCATTTGGAAAATTCATCTCAGAGAGAGTGGGTTCATCCATATCAGGAGTAACAATATGATTTTCTATTTTGATATTATCAATTCGTTCATTTTCCTTTATATCAAAGGTAGAAGATCTAGAGTTTTCTTCATCTCTTATTTGAGATGTAGAAGCTCGGGAGGGTATATTAACCACATAATCAGCTGGAGAAATATAAGAATAATTAGATCTAGGCATTTTTGCCTGCAGCCCGATATTATCGGTATAGCTCATTAACAGGTTTTGATCCGTAAATTTTACTTTTACCGTTCCATCAGGAGCCTGTTCAATATCAGAAATATCAAAATTCATATTATTTCTAGGAGCAACGGCTTCTTCTATAATCCATTCTTTAGGAAAATCAATTTCATCCCATTTAATAGGTCGTCTAGTAATAACTTTAGATCTACTAAAATTAGTTTCTATTAAAATAGTCTCATTTTTTAGATCCATAATTTTACACATAGGATTTAAAGTATAGAGTGGTTTATAATAGATTCTATAACAAATACATATAACTTCAGTTCTAGGTAAATAATCATAATACTTAATATTGAAGTATTTAAAGAATTTTCATCACTTAAAGATATCTGCAAATTAGGATAAGCATTAAAATAAACAGGGCCATAGGCCAAGCTGGTTTGCACCGTCCCTATTAGAGACTTCTTCCAATTTTGGTTTCTACCATCTCTTAAAGCTGCTATAAAGCTTTCCGGTAGACCTCTTAAAGTAAGAGGTTTAAAAGCAACTTGAACAAGGCCAATATGCATAAATTTATAATTATCCCTATAAGGGGCAAAAGCATTTTCAGATAATAATCTGAAGGTGCCATGATCAGAATCCACAGTGATAGTTTCTTCAGTGGTTTTAACAATTTGTTTAAAACCCAATTTTTTAAAAGTTCCCATCTGGTATATAACCCTGGGTTCTATTTTAGGAATTGTCCATCTATTAAGGAGATCCAATTGTTAAGGCATATCATATTCATCTTTTCTACTGTTTTTGACAGTAGACCGATTTCTTATAAGATTCATTATAGGAATACTGACAGATTAATACCGCCTAAGCATATAAACAACATGGCTCTGATACCATTCTTAGATTGGCTGGCTGGCGGTAGTCTGCGCTGCCATTGCCAATTTAAGCATATGGAATCAAATGCTTCATCCAGAATCACTTTAATGTAACTACAGGATCTTTTACGAATTGTACAGTTTTAGGGACGGAAAATCTTTTACGGTTCCAACATAGCCCAAACAACGCCTTACTCAACGGCTTCACATGGGCCTAAATAGGAACTCCGACAAAGCCAAGATTTTTCATCTTTAAACTGTACTATTTCGACCATAGAAACATCGGAACACTTCAAGACTTACCATCTTGTTCATAGTTTAGGACGATATGAATCCGTCAGTAAAAGTTTAGCCTATCATCTAGGCGTAAGTAAACAACAAAGTAAATAAATTTAGAATTAACAGATATAAAATAATATACCTTACGATTATCTTATATGCACAACTGCTGAAGATTTTAATTCACACTCCAAAAACTTACAAAAGATATAAATTTAAAAGAGAGAAATATGATGGGGGCTAATGCCTGCCTCCAACTAAGAAAGAAGGATCCTTTTATAGAGAAGGATCACGGAAAATAACAAAATAAATGACTTAAGCGCTTACATCATGCACATTAGTGATGGCCGACATTGGGACCTACAACTTTTATAAAAGTTAATTAATTATTATCTTTTTGACATTTTTAGTCTTTTGCTATTCGTTTGCCTTTGTCGTTTTTTGAACTGGAAGATTCTTCCATCTGACTGCTGAATTGTTGCAGGAATTCTTCGATGTCCATTTCATCTTCGTCTTGGGATTCCCCGGCTAGACATTCATCTTCATTTGAAGTAGAAACTGACATATTATCTGTAACTTTTTTCGGGATATTTTTTCCCAAATGCTTTATTAAGTCTCTTTTTACCTCCTCCATATAAGAAGCTAGAATTTCAGACTCAGATATGACTCCTCCCTTCATCTGGATTTTTCGGCAAATCTACTTAAAGGGACTTGTATCTTCCCTATCTGTTGATGAACCATTCTGGTTAATACCTTTTTCAATGGAAATGTTAATGGAGTCTATTATCTCCTGTCCATGTAATTGTCCTTCTGGATTTTTGTGGAGTAATTTACTCCAAAACTTTGTATGAAATTTCCTCTTGAGGCAAGGAAATTCTCGTCCATCTATTTGGACTTCAACTGTCCATTTCATTAGCCATTGAATTGAAAATTCTATAAAGAAATACATTATTGAAATCCCTTTAAAATAAATATCATCTTTTTGTAATTGTAAGATCTTGGGGGATATATCCACCCATTCTGCATATAATCGTTTATAATTCTCAGGAAGAATATTTATTGTGGGACCATATAAAGTCCACCATTTACAAAACCAATTTGGGATGTTTTGTTTAAAATTATTAGAGCAAATCTTAATAAACCATGAATGATTTCTATTAGCGTTCTCATATAACAGAACTTTATTAAAGCTTTCCACATAATCCCAGTAATTAAATCTTACTGCTGTTTTCTGTTCTGGGTGAGAATATTCTCTCTCCCTCATTGTACTAGTTCCCCATTCTTCTGGAGTAACTATCTTTTTTATGATTATTTTAGAAAAGTTATAAACTTTTCTAGTATTTGCTGGGTAAAAATGTTGGAATTCAGCTGATCCCATGGATGAGAGTATAATCTCATAATGCATTTTGAATTTATAAGTCGGGACAGCATATGATGCTGTGTCAAAATACCTTGTCATGATTTGCCAAGGTTCATCCTTCCATTGTAGATCCCTTGGGTCTAGAATTAATATTATTTCATCCAAATCATTTTGGTCATAGACTTCAATATTTTCAATGACCTCTTCATTGGCCACTGCTGAGTATTATGACTGTTCTTGTTGTCTGGATTTTATAAAATCCATAAATTCTTTATACATTGGATTGCTTGCGTCTATCCCTGATATGCCAGTAGATGTGCTAGCACATGTTTTTGTGATATTTGCTGCTATAAGCCTCTGATTTCCGACTTGAGCTAGGACATTATTTTCTTTACGGTTTTAGTGGAAGTAAGAAAATCCCCTTCCTCCAGAACATGAAGCGAGGTTATAAATGAGAGGAAATTAAGGTTCCATACTAGAAGGGGTTAAAATTGAAAATCACATCAATTCAAAAATTTTGAAAACTTCCCCAAGACAAGGGACTGCTCTATTGTTGGCAGGAAATAAGCCCAAAATCCCTCAAAACTCGGATGAGGCAAGGAACGGATGGCTCAAATTCAACCTAATTGTCCTTGTGCTCGAGGTGGTGCCCATCCACCTATCCAAGGACAAAATTTGCTGCTAAGAGTCGTACAATCGCTAAAGCCGAATAAATAAGAAAAGGGGAAAGAGACGTTAGGGATAGGTTGGTCATGTGCGAAGGGGCATTGTTTGGGATGTTGTCGTCGTGTTGAGGAAGAACGAAGTAGAGATCGGGCTTGCGTATTTCAACACTTTTGTTTCGTAGTTGATGCGCTGAAATCGTTAGGATGCTAAAACCTGTCGTTTTGCTAGGAACTGTACTATATTAGATGACAATTTTGGGTTTCTTTAGAATAGGAGTGGACTAGGTCAGCGGATTGGATTAGCTGGGGTGTTGAAAGAATGAAATAAATGTGAGAATTATTGGTGGCTTTCTAAAGAAAAGAGATTAGGTTGTAGGCTTAATTTTATCTTCTCAAGTGGGATAAAGGGGTGGGTAAGTAGATGGTTAGAGTTGCATCTTAAGTTAGGCCAAATGAATCACAAAATTAGCTAGATTTTCGAATGAATTAAGTTCGAATTTTTAGTTAGGCTTAAACATAAATAAGGCTAACGAGGATAATCAATTAATGAGATTCTTAATTTAAACGAAATAAAATAATAAACTCGGTTAAAATTAATTAATTAAAAATAAAGACTAATCGCAATTATACTATGGATCAAACTAAAAGAGTATTTGACTTAAAACAAAACTTTACAAGATGATTTTTAAATATTCATAAAATATACTAATTATACACCATATATTCATTATTTAAATTTTCTTAAAATGACTACATTGCTATAAAATAATTTGAATAACATTTGGAATTTTAGTAAACTAATTATTCTAAATCGTTTAAAAATTAAGAAACTCTTCAATTAATTCCTAATGGGGAGGGTGATATTGGGTGTCAACAAATGTCCCTCATTTGGCTTGGATTGATGCAAGAAATTCGAGAAAAATGAAGTTGAGTAATCCAGTTTTTGCCGACCACACATTCATCTTTGGAAAGGGATTTGTTATGGACTTTAGGAATTATGGCCGAACCCTAAATATGGGCTTAATGCATAATCTTAGGATATATGAGAATGGAGGTCAACTGTAATTTGATATGCTTTATTTAACGCACGATTTTTAAGAAATTTAAAAGCCACCCGATACCAAAATATGAAGGGACTGAGATGCTCGATAATAAGATTTCAGAGCAAATGTTGGAGTACAGCTGAGTTTCCAGCACTTAGTTTGCTACATATCCTTAAATTCAAGAAATCAGGTTGCTTGTAGTTTGACTAGATCGGTTGAAAAGGGAATCTATTATGCTAGATAACCTTTGGTTCTGGACAAGTGACAAATTAAATCGAGTATGAAAAGGAGGCTTATAGCCTCTTAGAAATGAATTTGGCGTGCTTCACACCCACAATCAAGAACTTACATAGACATAATTTCCAGAGCTCTTGGTGCATTGTCACTCAGATTGGAAACTTTCTTACACCGGCTATCAAAATTTCCGGATGCGTGACCGAAACCAAGAAACCTAAAGAAAAACTCACATGCCTTCTGATAGGTATGTGGTTTGATTGTGGTGGAATTTGCTCCTCCGATCGCGTCCTAAGTGTTTGACACTCCTCTTTGGACTATGTCCCAGTTCGCTGCTAAAAAAAATTGCATGTTATGTTGTATCCTTTTTGACGTCGTCCGCACCTGCGACTTCTTTTTTTGGAGAATTCATAATTTTGGATGCTTTCGAAAAAGAATGAGGTAAAATTTGACAGCATAAAAAATGCAATTCAAATGGGAGACAGTGTTTTTTACCGTGTTGACACTTAGTTTCTCTCCTTCAACATTTGTCGTCAACTCCCTCGGGTTTGACGTAAGAAAAAAAAAGCTCATGTATTACGTTTGCAATATAATATTCAATGTAGTCCTCATTTGATGTCGAAGTAAATAAAAGTTGAAGCAATGTGCTAATTTTTTTTGATGTCATCTTTGATGATTTTCTTGGTGTTTAATCTTCTCCAAAATAACAAGGATTTGATTGATGTTGATGGGAAAATATTCTCCAGGGATGCACAATGACTTTTTTTTGCGATGCATGAGTTACTTCTCTTGCTATACATAGCCTCTTTTTCATCATGCATGAATTTTATTTTAGAATGGATGACTTCTTCTCAGCAATGCATGATTTTTTCCACGATGCCCAAATCTCCTCTTGCATTGCATGACTTTTCACGATTTATGAATTTCCACGATGCATGAATATCTTCTCGCGAGGCATGAATTTCTCTTGCCATGCATGACTTCTTTTTTTGTGATGCATTACTTTCCGCGATGCATGAATATCAACTCGCGATGCATGATTTTTCGCAATGTATTAATATAAAATCGTGATGCATGATTTTACGCGATGCATGATTTTCCGCAATGCATGAAAATCTTCTCGCGGTGCATGACATTTTCTGCAAGACATGAATATCTTCTTGTGGTGCATGAAATTTTTTTTGATTCATGAATATCTTCCCCCGGTGCATGATTTTTTGTGACGAATGATTCTCCTAGATGCATGAATATTTTCTCGTGATGCATGATATTTCCCTCTTGATGTCATCTTTGGTACCAAATGAAGACAGTGCATCAATCGAGCAATATAGTTATCTTCTAAATAATGATATCGCCTCGATTAACAATATGGTAAAATGACCCTCCATGTAGTGTATCATCTAAGATGATATTATGGACAAACTAAACCTTCGAGTAGTAACACTATCATGTCTTATAATATGATGCATATGACGTCCTTGATAAAAATCGTAAAAATGTATTTTGGGAGTTTTATTTGATTTATTTTTGAATCATAGTTGTATCTTCATTATAGACTTCACATTATTTGGAATTTGATGAAACAATGTTGTTCATGTTCCCAGGTCGTCTATATAAGCAATATAAAACATTTCCTGCATCTACCAAACTACTGTTAATTGGGGTGCTTTTCGCACTTTAGCTTCTCAGTATTCATGATCGGTGGAATTGGTTGATTTCAGAGCAAATCTATGAACCTACGTCGATAGAAAAAATTGCTAGTATGGTGATGATTATCATATTAGGTGTACTGCACACATATATAATTTGATTGTTACAGATGGTAAACAAATTTATGATAACGGTTGGATGAAAGTAGAAAATTCATGTCGTTTTATATTTATATGGAAAATTAAGTCTAGACGTAGAGATTTTCAAAATCATTGTTTTTAATATCCT